AAGTGCAGCTGAGAGTCCGGGCGCGGTGGCTCACGCCTGTAATCCCAGCAGTTTGAGAGGCCGATGTGGGCAGATCACCTGAGGTCAGGAGTTCGAGACCAGCCTGGCCAATATGGCGAAACCCCGTCTCTACTAAAAATACAAAAATTAGCCGGGCATGGTGGCGGGGCACCTGTAATCCCAGCTACTTGAGAGGCTGAAGCATGAGAATTGCTTGGACCCAGGAGGCGGAGGTTGCAGTGAGCCCAGATCGTATCCCTGCACTCCAGCCTGGGGGACAGAGCAAGACTCTGTCTCCAAAAAAAAAAAAAAACACAGTGCAGCTGAGAAGGCAGAGACCCGCACAGGGCAGGAATGCAGGAAAGCCCCTTGTCCTCTAAGTTTCAGTCCCATGACTGTCCAGCGGCCCCAGCTCTGGACTCTGAGACAGGAAGTCATCATGGCCACAGCGGTCACTGGTCAAGGTCAACGATCAAGTCCACCTGACCACAGGGCAGCCTAGCAGGGGACGGGCGAACAGGCACAGCTACTCTTGGGGCCGTCGGGCATCTTGCCAGCTCCTTCTCACCCTGTTGGGGCAAAGCAGCTCAGGAGAGAGACAACAGGACCGGCACAGTCTGGCCTGGGTGGGGAGGCTGGCTGGGGGAGCTGGATTGAGGCGAGAAGCACTAATAGGTTATGTCAGGCGAGCGCTCTGGGGAAGGGGCCGCGCCTCTCAGCTCTGGCAGCCCCACCTGGGGCCTGAGCCCAAGAGCTGGGGCCTGGAGAGAGGCGCTGGCTCGGTGCTGAACCCAGCGTGCAGACCAGGGAGCAGGGAGGCAGGACAGAAGTGAGCCCCCCATCCCCTGCCAGGCCTGGGGCAGTAGGGCGGCTGGTGATAGACACAGAGACCCCTCTGGTGGGCTAGGCAGCTCCCAGGTGACAGAGGACACCCATGCTTACATGATGGGCCTGGGCTTGGTGGAGAGCGAAGCTCCAGGGATGGGACCTGCTCAGGAGAACCCTCTTATTATGTATCCCCTCATTTCCTCTTCTGTCCAGTCCCCCCATGCTGGGCACCAGGATCCCATCCCCAAACCCTCCCGATCCTGATCTCTCCCCTAAGCTCCCGCTGCTCTGGGTGGACTTCGCCAGCCCCTCCCCCATCCTCCAGTGTGCACTTCGACAGCCCCTAACACCACAGCCTTTCCTGGGGTTGGGATGAGGTCAGGATGAACTGGGGGACAGGGAGAGGCCTGCAAATGAACCCCTCTCCAGGGAATGTGGGTTCCAGGAGCTCGGGAGGTAGAGAAGGTCTCAGAACAAAGGGGGGTCAGGGAAGGGCCAGGAACTCGGGCCGGGGCCTGCGGGCAGACTGAGGAGGGGGCCCCTTACAACCATAGCAGGGCAGCCAGGGCCTTGTGTGTCTTGGCGAGGCGGGACCCCTGGCCCGCCAGGTATGTAACAATTCCAGCCATTTCCTGCCCTATTAATGAAAAAGGGACTGATATAAATACACGCTCAGCATAAATAAATACAGGCCAGGCCCGGGACTGCATAGCAGACAGATTGCGTGAAGCTGCTGGCCGGCCTTGCAGCCAGCTCCCCCCACCCTGCCCGTGCCCCCTCCACCCCCCGACACCGGCCACCACTTGTTTTCCTCCAGCAGGCCAGGGCCCCTCCATGCTCACAGGCCTGAGACAGACGGACTGACTGCTCCCACCCCAGGCCTCAGAAGCTGCAGCCCCCGGGAAGGCGGCAGGCCTGGGAAATGGGGAGCCAGGGAATGGGGTTCCAAGAGCCTCCCATAGCTGCCCTGAGCAGGGACCGCACGTGCACAGACCAGGCAACAGCCCTGTGACATCTGGGGTGCTGTGATTATACCCTGATCACAGGAGGGGAAACTGAGGCTCTCAGGGTTCAGTAACTCGCCAAAGGTTACACAGCCGAGAGGTTGTGGATCCAGCATCCAAACCCAAGGCTCTCTGATCCCAGGGCCTCTGCTGTGCCTACCATTGTGAGTGGCAGCTGAGGGGAGATTCTGGCCTTCTCCCTTTTCCCCAGGATGCCAGAGACCTTGGAAGGCCAGGAAGACTTCAAATCCTAGAAGAGACTGCAAAAGCAGCAGTAACTCCAGGACAGGGGATTCGGGGAGCCAGAAGTCAGCCAGTGTAGGGCCTTATAGGCAGGCTGCGTAGACAGAGGGCCTGCTCCTCTCCTGCCCCACCCCACTTCCTACCTGGGCATTCAGAAACAAGGCCTGGCATCGAGGAACCCCAGATGCTGACTCTCAGCCAGGCACAGTGGCTCATACGTGTAATCCCAGCACTTTGGGAGACCAAGGTGGGCAGATCACCTGAGGTCAGGAGTTTGAGACCAGCCTGGCCAATATGGTGAAACCCCGTCTCTGCTAGAAATACAAAAATTAGCCGGGCATGGTGGCGCACACATGTAGTCCCAGCTACTCGAGAGATCAAGGCACAAGAATCGTTTGAACCCGGGAGGCGGAGGCTGCAGTGAGCCGAGATCACGCCACCACACTCCAGCCTGAGACCCTGTCTCAAAAAACAAAACAAAAACAAACCAAATGCTGACTCCCTTATCAGGGGTCACCCCACCCATCCCGCATTGCACAGACATAGGAACCAAAGCCCAGAGCAGGCAAAGAGAGCCTCATCCAAGGTCACACCCAGTGACCTCGGCAGGGCAGAGGCAGAGGCACAGAATCCAAGCTTCTGTCCCCAAGCCCGGATCTTCTCCATGGGGCTTGGGCCACATCCTTGTCTGTCCCCACCTTGGCCCCAGACTGTTCTGGGACCTCTTCTTTTCCTCCAGTCCCCACCTCAGCAATGGGCTGACATCACCTACTCCTGCACTCACGCTTCCCGGAAAGTTGTGTGTATGTCCTAGAATTCCAGTCGTGTTACCCCTCTGATCAGGCACTTAGAGGTCCTTCCGGGTACATGTTCTGCCTGGTTGGCCAGATGGGACCTCTCAGATGTACCTCCTAGGGCAGGACAGGCTTGCTGCTCAGACTTGGAAGAAGGGTCTGGAAGTTCACCCCACATCTACCCTGGGCTATAAAGGAGGCCCTCACTGAGCTGGGAACCTGAGTGGAGAAGGGCCACGTTCACACCACCACCCTCTGGCTTGGGAGTGGGTGAGAGGTGACTGCAAACACTCGAGAAACCATCCCTTCCCCTCTCAGCAGAATCACTCACCTGAAGGCTGAGTCTTGGGGATTGGAAGCACCACAGCCTGAGCTGGCACAGCAGCATGAGCCACCCCTGCAGCAGGACCCTGTGTCCTTACTCACAGGTTGGGGGAGTGCTGAGATACTGGATAGGTTTCCCCTTTCCCCAGGGAGACAGATGGCTCTTCAACAGACTGGGTGGGTGAGTGTGGTTGGTTCTGTGAATGAATGGGTGGGTGGGTGGGTGGAATGGATGGATGGATGGATGGATGGATGGATGGATGGATGGATGGATGGGTAAATGGATCAGTGAATGGGTAGATGGATGGATGGATGAATGGATGGATAGATGGGTGGATGGATGGGTGGATGGGTGGGTGGGTGGATGGGTGAGTGGGTGGATGGATGGATGCATAAATGGGTTGATGAATGGGTAAATGAATGGGTGAGTGGATGGGTAGACAGATGGGCGGGTGAATGGATAGGTGGGTGAGTGGGTGGATAGATGGATGGGTAAATGGATCACTGGTTGGATAGATGGATGGATGGATGGATGAATGGGTGGATGGATGGGTGGGTGGGTTGGTGGATAGACAGATGCATGAATGGGTTGATGAATGGGTAGATGAATGGGTGAGTGGATGAGTAGGTACACGGGCAGGTGAATGGAGATGAGAGTACACGGGCAGGTGAATGGATGCAGGTGGGTGGATAAAATGGATGGTAAATGGATCACCGGTTGGATAGATGGATGGATGGATGGATTGAATGGGGGTGGATGAATGGGTGGATGGATGGGTGGGTGGGTTGGTGTGATAGACAGATGCATGAACGGTTGATGAATGGGTAGATGAATGGGTGAGTGGATGAGTAGGTACACGGGCAGGTGAATGGACGTGTGGGTGGGTGGATAAATGGATGGGTAAATGGATCACTGGGTGGGTAGATGGATGGATGGGTGGGTATGTGGACGGATGGATGGATGGATGGATGGATGGATGGATGGATGGATGGATGCATGAATGGGTGGATGAATGCATAGATGAATGGGTGATTAAACGGGTAGGTAGATGGGTGGGTGAATGGATGGGTGGTTGGGTGGATGGATGTGTGGGTAGATGGGCAGGTGAATGGATGAGTGGATGAATGGATGGATGGATGGATAAGTGGAGGGATGGATGGATGGATGTGTGGGTAGATGGGCAGGTGAATGGATGAGTGGATGAATGGATTGGTGGGTGGGTGGATGGATGGTTCTGTGGATGCCTTTGTGGGCAGGTGAATAGGTGGATGGATGAGTGGCCAAGTGCATGAATGAATGGGTTCCTTGAAGCCTGGCTCACAACTGTTTCTCAAAGGAAGTTGCTAAATCTCTGAAATGTGAGGCCCTGGCACCCCCCAGAGGCCAAAGTCTCTAACTGCCCATCTCCCCTAAAACCCTGGGCACCAATACTTCTGAGAATCAGGGGCACGCACCTAGAGAAAGTTAAGGATTCTGGGAAGCAAAAAATCTAGAGACCCAGTGCTGGTTCTGCCCTTGACAGACTGTGACCTTGGGCAAGTTCAACCTTCTGAGGCTCAATTTTCTCAGCTGTAAATGGTGCTAATCAAACCTGATGCCTGTGTTGCTAGGAGATTTAAACCCGATTATGAGTAAATTGTCTGAGATGGTTGATATCTGGCCCATAGAAGATGCTGACAGAATGTAATTTCCTTCCCAGAGGCAGTCCTGGGCTCACATGCACGCACACACATGCACGTCATTCACACAACATCTCTCCAGCCCATTAGGGAAGAGGGAGTGAGACCATAGGCCAGGCCAGACCAGGAGAGGCAGATGGGGATACATTTATGCTCTGGGAGTTTCTTGCTCTGACAAAACTAGTCCAGACTCCGAGTCCGAGGACCCGGATAGTGAGGGCAGCAAGGAAGACCCTGAGACCTCCTGGGGTTCAACCTCCTGGGCCTGGGCCAGCTGGGCCGTGTGTTCAAAGGCAGCCTGCAGTAGGTGGGAGGCCAGGCAGGTGGTCCAGGTGATGAGATAGGCCAGGTGCCAGGAGGTGAGGGCAGTCATAGTCTCCACCCACCAATACAGACATCTCAGCTGTGCCAGGAGCTTTCTCACCACGCAGTTCATTTGCAAAGCCTGGAACAGGGAGACAGATGGGCGGGTGGCCCTTAGGAGCTCATAGGGTTACACTGCTCGGCTGTGGCTCCCCCGCGCAAGCCTAACCAGCCCTGGTCACACACAACACCCCAGGTTTGCCCTCCACACCCCAGTCTCACCCCGAAACCACCCACCTTACTGAGCTGCCTGTCCGGTCGGAAGCAGTGGGCCTTCTGACACACCCTCCAGGTCACTATCACCAGGAGCAAGGCCACCAACATCAGGCCGTGCAGACATGACAAAAATAGGTCTGTCCAGATGGCCACAGACAGGCCCAGCTGCTCCCAGGCACTGAGCAAGGCCAGGCCCAGGGCCCTGGTGCCGCCCCACATGCCAGCCCACATCAGCCTGGGTCCCTGTAGCACGAGCCACACGGGGACCTGGATCAGAGCCAGCCCAGCCCGGAGAGCCCGGCCCAGCGGGCAGGCTGCAGCTCCCAGGGGTAGGTGGGCCTGCCAGTTACAGGACCCCCGGGCCTCCTGGGCCAGCCCTGATACCCAGTGGTTGAAGAGGTTGATCTTGAGAAGCAGGAAATTATAGAGGTGATCTCGGTTCTGTGCAGGAGAAGAGAGAGAGACAATCATCACCCATCATCACCCTCCTGGGGCAGGAACCCCACTTTTTTTTTTTTTTTTTTGAGACGGAATTTCGTTGCCTAGGCTGGAATGCAATGGTGCTATCTCAGTTCACTGCAACCTCCACTTCCCGGGTTCGGGTGATTCTCCTGCTTCAGCCTCCTGAGTAGCTGGGATTACAGGTGCCCACCACCACGTCTGGCTAGTTTTTCTATTTTTAGTAGAGATGGAGTTTCACCATCTTGGTCAGGCTGGTCTTGAACTCCTGACCTTAGGCGATCCACCCACCTCGGTCTCCCAAAGTGCTGGGATTACAGGCGTGAGCCACCGCACCTGGCCAGGATCCCCACTTTTATTGTAGAGGTGAAGCTGCTGGACCACCTTGAGTCAGATCCCCCCGCCGAGGCCTCAGCTCCCTACATGTGCAAGGATGAACTCTGTCCACTTTGAAGGACTCCCTTCTGAGAAGGGAACATTAGAATGTGTTTCATATTATATTTGGGTTCCTTTCCATTGGATTTGGATTTTTTTTTTTTTTTTTTTTTTTTTTTTTTTTTTTTAAGAAACAGGATCTCACTCTGTTGTCCAGGCTGGAGTGCAGTGACATCATCATAGCTCACTGCAGTCTTGACCTCCCACACTTAAGCAATCCTCCCATCTCAGCCTCCCAAAAAGCTGAGACCACAAGTGCATGCCACCATGCCTAGCTAATTTTTTTTTTTTTTTTTTTTTTTTAAAGAAATGGAGTTGTGGCCGGGCGCGGTGGCTCAAGCCTGTAATCCCAGCACTTTGGGAGGCCAAGGCGGGCGGATCACAAGGTCAGGAGATCGAGACCATCCTGGCTAACACCGTGAAACCCCGTCTCTACTAAAAAAATACAAAAAAAAAAAACTAGCCGGGCGTGGTGGTGGGCGCCTGTAGTCCCAGCTACTTGGGAGGCCGAGGCAGGAGAATGGCGTGAACCCGGGGGCGGAGCTTGCAGTGAGCCGAGATCGCGCCACTGCACTCCAGTCTGGGCGACAGAGTAAGACTCTGTCTCAAAAAAAAAAAAAAAAAAAAAAGAAAAGAAAAAAAGAAATGGAGTTGTTCTATTATGCCTGGCTGGTCTTGAACTCCTAGGCTCAAGCAATCCTCCCCTCATTAGCCTTCCAAGTAGCTGGAGCTATAGGTGCATGACACTACGTCCAGCTAATTTTGTTTTTTTTTTTTTTGTAGAGGCAGAAGTCTTGCCGTTATCCAGGCTGGTCTCGAACTCCTGACCTCAAGCAATCCTTCTGTCTCAGCCTCCCTAAGTGCTGGGATTGCAGGCGTGAGCCACTACACCTGGCCTCCGTTGGATTTAAATGATTATTTACAATACTCCAGACTGAAGGAGGTTGCATGGCTATTACTACCATGTGAGGATCCCCTGCCCCAATCTTGTAGGCTTTGAACCCAGGTCACTTGTCTTCTTCTAAGTAGCTGGGCTTTGCTTCTGCACCAGTTGTCCTCTGGCATCAGGAGGGCTGCTGGGGGCAAAGGACAATGCCATTGGGAGCAGGGAGGCGTGAGAGACGTGGGGCAGGGGCCACAGAATTCATGACAGACCTAATGAGAAGGGTGAAGGAGAGGGACCCAGAAAGACTTCAGATTTCCGGCCGGACACAGTGCCTCACGCCTGTAATCCCAGCACTCTGGGAGGCCGAGGCAGGTGGATCACCTGAGGTCAAGAGTTCGAGACCATCCTGGACAACCTGGTGAAACCCCATCTCTACTAAAAATGGAAAAAATTAACCAGGCTTGGTGGCGGACGCCTGTAGTCCCAGCTATCCAAGAGGCTGAGGCAGGAGAATGGCGTGAACCCAGGGGAGGCGGAGCTTGCAGTGAGCCGAGATCCCACCGCTGCACTCCAGGCTGGGCGACAGAGTGAGACTCCGTCTCAAAAAAAAAAAAAAACTACAAAAGTTAGCTAGGCATGATGGTGCATGCCTGTAATCCCAGCTACTTGGGAGGTTGAGGCAGGAGAATCGCTTGAACCCAGGAGATGGAGGTTGTGGTTTGCCAAGATCATGCCACTGCACTCCAGCCTGGGTAACAGAGTGAGACTACGTCTCAAAAAAAAAAAAAAAAAAAAAAAGATTTTCTGATCTGGGTGGCAAGTTGGACAACAGTGTCTCCCATTCACTGAGATGAAGTGTGCAGAACTAGGGTGAGGTGGGGGAAAGCTGTTCTTGAGTCCTGGAGTTGAAAGATCCTTCATCAGAGCTGGAAAGCCCCCAGCCCTTGAGTGACACCAATCCACCCATCTGGACCCCCCATCCCCGTGTCCACAGGCCCACCATCTGAGATTGGCTGCAAGCCCCCCACTCATGGGCTGGATTTGGAGAGCTTGGGGCATGGAGGGTGGAGCTATGCTGAGACCAAAGGGTCCAGCAAGGAGAAGAACGAGGGTAGAGGTAGGAAATAGGACCTCCCAGGTTATGGTGCTGAGACCAGGGAAGAGGGAAACCTATGATATCCCATGTGATCCCACAAGATCATTTCTATAGGAGAGGAAACGGGGGTTCAGAGTGGTGAAGTGATTTGCCCAAAGTCACACAGCTAGAGAGTGAAACAACCGAGACGCAAATTTTTTTTTTTCTTTTTTTTCCTGAGACGGAGTTTTTACTCTTGTTGCCCAGGCTGGAGTACAGTGGTGTGATCTCGGCTCACCGCAACCTCCGCCTCCCACGTTGAAGCGATTCTCCTGCCTCAGCCTCCCGAGTAGCTGGGATTACAGGCATGCACCACCACGCCTGGCCAATTGTGTATTTTTAGTAGAGACGAGGTTTCTTCATGTTAGTCAGGCTGGTCTTGAACTCCTGACCTCAGGTGATCTGCCGGCCTCGGCCTCCCAAAGTGCTGGGATTACAGGCGTGAGCCACCACACCTGAACCCGAGATGCAAATCTAATGGTGTCTGTCTTTCTCAACTGCACCCTGTTATAGGATCGTGGCTCACTCCTCCCAGGCTCAATCTATCCTCCCACCTCGGCCTCCTAAGTGTGACTGAGCTGTGACCCCAACCGCAAGCATTTGTATGTTTAAAAAAGATGAATGGCCGGGCACGGTGGCTCATGCCTGTAATCCTAGCACTTTGGGAGGCCGAGGTGGGTGGATCACGAGGTCAGGAGTTTGAGACCAGCCTGGCCAATGTGGTGAAACCCCGTCTCTACTAGAGATACAAAAAATTATCTGGGCATGGTGGCGCATGCCTGTAATCCCAGCTACTTGGGAGGCTAAGGCAGGAGAATCGCTTGAACTGGAGGCGGAGATCATAGTGAGCCCAAATCATGCCATTACACTGCAGCCTGAGCAACAGGGCAAGAGTCCATCTCAAAAAAAAAAAAAAAAAAAACCAAAAACAAAAGAGGAATGGGCCGGGCACAGTGGCTCATGCCTATAATCCCAGCGCTTTGGGAAGCCAGGGTGGGCAGATCACAAGGTCAGGAGATCGAGACCATCCTGGCTAACAGAGTCTCTACTAAAAATAAAAATAAATAAAAAATAAATTATCCAGGCGTGATGGCACGCGCCTGTAATCCCAGCTACTTGGGAGGCTGAGGCAGGAGAACTTCTTTTGAACCCAGGAGGCGGAGCTTGCAGTGAGCCGAGATCGCACCACTGCACTCCAGCCTGGGCGACAGAGCGAGACTCTGTCTCAAAAAAAAAAAAAAAAAAAAAAAAAAATATATATATATATATATATATATGGGAAAAACAACGATTGACCCATAGGAGGGACCCACAATAGAGAAAACTCTGCCAGGTGCGGTAGTTCACGCCTGTCATCCCAGGACCTCGGGAAGCTGAGGTTGGAGGATCATGTGAGGCCAAGAGTTGGAGACCAGCCTGGGCAACATAGTGAGACACCATCTATACAAAATACAAAAATTAGGCCGGGCGCGGTGGCTCAAGCCTGTAATCCCAGCACTTTGGGAGGCCGAGACGGGCGGATCACGAGGTCAGGAGATCGAGACCATCCTGGCTAACACGGTGAAACCCCGTCTCTACTGAAAATACAAAAAACTAGCCGGGCGAGGTGGCGGGCGCCTGTAGTCCCAGCTACTCCGGAGGCTGAGGCAGGAGAATGGCGTGAACCCGGGAGGCGGAGCTTGCAGTGAGCTGAGATCTGGCCACTGCACTCCAGCCTGGGCGACAGAGCGAGACTCTGTCTCAAAAAAAAAAAAAAAAAAAAAATACAAAAATTAGTCAGGCGTAGTGGTGCACACCTATAATCCCAGCTACTTGGAGGCTGAAGGGGGAGGATTGTTGGAGACCGGGAGTTGGAGGCTGTAATGAGCTGAGCCAGCACCACTGCGCTCCAGGCTGGGTGATAGAGCGAGACCCTGTCTCTAAATAAAGAAAAGAAAAGAAAATGTCAGCACTGTAGTTTGGAGTGGGGCTTCTGGGAGCTGTCAGATTATTCTGGAAGGCAGGCAGCTACCTCGTTCCACTGGATGGGACAGGCAGGGCTTGGGTCCGGCAGCTCTGAGGTGACTTTGTAAAGGGCCTGGTGTGTCGTCCCCGCCCCACTTACCCCCAGCCCCCACTCACCAGCACTGTGAGCCTTATAACCTGCAACAGAATCCCCAAAAGGCTGGATCTGACTGGAGGAACGGCCTCCATGTCTGGCCTCCCGCTCCTCCTCTGGCTGGGAAAAGCAGGGTGACCTCACAGATGCCACAGGGTGGGGGCCAAGTTACCATGGGGACCCGATTGCCACAAGAGATTCCCCACCTTTACCTGGCTCCTGCCGCTCCACTGCTTCCTCTGAAACCTCAGTCCACGTCTGACCCCAACAAGGCCAAGGAGGTCTTAGAGCAAAGCTTTCTTCGGGTCCCATTTTCCCAGATCTTGGAACAGGAATCAAGTGCTGCCTAGGAACGGGGTTCATGCCTGTAATCCCAATGCTTTGGGAGGCCAAGGTAAGAGGATTGCTTGAGGCCAGGAGTTTGAGACCAGTGTGGGCAACGTAGCAAGACCCTGTCTCTACAAAAAAACAAAAAAATTAGCCAGTCATCGTGGTGCACACCTGTAGCCCCAACTACACAGGAGGCTACAGTGGGAGAATCACTTGAGCCCAGGATATAGAGGTTGCAGTGAGCCAGGATCACTCCAGCCTGGGTGACAGAGCAAAACCCTATCTCTAAACAAAGAAAAAAAATTGAAGTGCAAGGAGTTTATTTGGGGAGTGGACCCTGCAAGCATCCATAGGAAGTCAGAAAGTGAGGCAAGTGGCCAGGCGCGGTGGCTCACGCCTGTAATTCCAGCACTTTGGGAGGCAAAGGTGGGCGGATCACAAGGTCAGGAATCCGAAACCAGCCTGACCAACATGGTGAAACCCCGTCCCTACTAAAAATACAAAAAAAAAAAAAAAATTAGCCAGGCGTGGTGTTGTGCGCCTGTAATCCCAGCTGCTCAGGAAGCTGAGGTAGGAGGTTTTTGGAACCTGGAAGGCGGAGGTTGCAGTGAGCTGAGATCACGCCACTGCACTCCAGCCTGGGTGACAGAGCAAGACTCTGAGGAAAGAAGGGTGGGGGGGGCAGGGAGGAACGAAGGAAGGAAGGAAAGAAAGAAAGAAAGGACAGATGAGTTCATGAGGAGGGTTTGGGTTCAGACAACTGGGGCTGATCCCCAAAATCCCCTGGAAAATGGTGCAGAACACACCTCAGAGTCACCCCACCCAAGGAGCATGAATACTGGGATACTTGTCTTCCATGACCTGTCTGCTTCCTGTCGAACATTAACTCCCCTGAACCTCCGACCTCACCAGCACAAACACCAGAGAAAGCCCTCCAGCAGATGGTCAGGTGGGGGCCTTGCAGCAGGCGGCTCAAGCAATGTGCATGGAAACTGAGGCAGAGGACTCTGGGGTAGGGAGAGCAAAAAGGAATCCAGAAAAAATAAACCCCGAGACATGTGATGATGGGAGCCTTGGGGTGAGGAATGGAGACAACAGATGCCAGAAATCTGTAGCAGGTACAACAGATAGAATTAGAGGATGTCAAGATCCAAGATGATCTGAGACGATGCCCACTTGCATGCTAACAAGTTAACCAGCCAGAGCTCCATGGCTGCCACAGGAAGACACGAGACTCCCAGGTCAGAGATCAAAGACAATGTTACTCATGGCAATAGCAGTGAACTAGAGTATTAGTACTTTCCATTCATTCCTTGAGCCCCAAATCCCACAGGGTGATGTGACAAGGGCCCGATGATGCCTGGCAGTATCTGAGGTGGGTGTGTTACAGGAGAGGTGGCCTGAGCTTAGGGAACCCAAATCTTTTCTTTTCTTTTTTTTTTTTTTTTTTTTTTTTGAGATGGAGTCTTGCTCTGTCACCCAGTGTAGTGGTATAATCTCAGCTCACCACAAGCTCTGCCTCCCGGGTTCAAGCGATTCTCCTGCCTCAGCCTCCCAAGTAGCTGGGATTATAGGCGCCTACCACCATACCTGGCTAATATGTTGTATTTTTAGTACAGACAGGGTTTCTCCAGGTTGGTCAGGCTGGTCTCAAACCCCTGACCTCAGGTGATGCACCCACCAATGCCTCCCAAAGTGCTGGGATTCCAGGTGGGAGACACCTCACCCAGTCTTCTTTTTTTCTTTTTTTTTGAGATGGAGTCTCACTCTGTTGCCCAGGCTGGAGTGCAGTGGCACCATCTCTGCTCACTGCAACCTTCACCTACCAGGTTCAAGCAATTCTCCTGCCTCAGCCTCCTGAGTAGCTGGGATTACAGACATGCACCACCATGCCCAGTTAATTTTTGTATTTTTAGTTGGGACGGGGTTTCACCATAGTGGCCAGGCTGGTCTTGAACTCCTGATCTCAGGTGATCCACTTGCCAGAGCCTCCCAAAGTGCTGGGATTATAGGCATGAGTCACCGCGCCTGGCCAGGGAACCCAAATCTTTTCTAATGAGCAGTAAGCAGGGCTGCCTTTTGCCCCAGAAGGAGACACTGTATCTTCCAAGGTTGTGTGATACACAGATATCCTAGAAAAGAAAGTCCAGGGCAAAAGGCAATCCATTAGTGCCTCACTCACAAGACATACAGAAACATGAAAGACACATAGAGAGTTGCATCCCAACAGAGGAATGAACAGGAAAAGATGTAAAGCGAGACAGCAGTCAGGGATACGCCCAACCCAGAAGTCTCGAGTGAAGGGCAGATAGTAGTGCTGCCCACCAAGTGGGGGTGGGAAAAGAAGGAGTAGGTTTGGGGAGAGAGGCAAAGGGATTGCTGGGGGTCAGAAGGTGGTGGCTGAGCCGGGTGCAGTGGCTCACGCCTGTAATCCTAGCACTTTCAGAGGCCGAGGTAGGCAGATCACTTGAGGCCAGGAGTTTAAGACCAGCCTGGGCAGCATGGTGAAACCCAGTCTCTACTAAAAATATAAAACTTAGCTGGGCATAGTGGTGCACGCTTGTAATCCCAGCTGCTCAGGAGGCTGAGGCAAGAGAATCGCTTGAACCCGGGAGGCAGAGGTTGCAGTGAGCCGAGATCAGGCCACTGCACTCCAGCCTGGGTGACAGAGCAAGACTCCATCTCAAAAAAAGAAAAAAGAAAGAAAGAAAGTGGTGGCTGAGACTGGGATTTGCAATTTGTTTTCCCTCCTCCCTTTGGTTTGCTGCCACCATCACCTGGCATCCCTGTCCCCAGAACTCCACCGCCACAGAGGCTGAGCTGATATCTCCAGCCTCATACGGACCACACTTCCCATGGTCAGGGTGGGAGCTAGAGCAGAAGGACCTCACTCTGCCCCACAGCCCCTACGTGGCCCCATGGGAATGCTAGGCTCATGTCTCAGTCCTAGCTCTAGTCACCTGCCCTTCCCTACCCCCACCTAAGCCCTGGTCTTGGTCCCCAAGCTAGATTCCAGCCAGGGTTCTTTGTGGCTCTGTGGCTGCCCAGACCACAGGAACAGGTGCCCACAGAAGCCTGGCTATCTAGTGTCAGAGGTCAGAAGCCTCTGCTGGGGAGTGAAACCAACTCAAGATGTCCCCTAAGCTAACTGAGGGAGAGCAGTCCCAACCATGCAGGCCCACAAGCCGGAAACCCCGGGATCGCCTTCTCACCTTCCTGCCTTCTCACCTTCCTGCCAAGCCACTTCTGAAAGCAAGGACCGTGAACCTCCCTCACTGCTGCGTCCCATGCCTAGAACGGTGCTAGGGGCACAGAAGGAGCTCTGTGTAAATTTTTTGAATTGAGAAATGAAAGCTGGCTGGGCACGGTGGTTCACGCCTGTAATCCCAACACTTTGGGAGGCTGAGGCCAGTGGATCACCTGAGATCAGGAATTCTAGACCAGCCTGGCCAACTTGGTGAAACCCCATCTCTATTAAAAATACAAAAAAAATTAGCCCGGCATGGTGGCACGTACCTGTAATCCCAGCTACTTGGGAGGTTGAGATGGGAGAATTGCTTGAACCTGGGAGGCAGAGGTTGCAAGCAATGAGCCAAGATCATGCCCACTGCACTCCAGCCCAGGTGACAGGGCGAGACTCTGTCTAAAAAAAAAAAGAAAAAGAAAAGAAAAGAAAAGAAGAAAAAAAAATGACAGCTGGGTGCAGTGGTCCAGGTCTGCAATCCCAGCACTTTAGGAGGCGGAGGTGGAAGGATTGCTTGAGCCCAGGAGTTTTAGATCAGCCTGGGCAATATAGCAAGACCCCATCTCTACAAAAAAATTCAAAAATTAGCCAGGCATGGTGGCACATAACTGTGGTCCCAGCTACTCAGGAGGCTGAGGCAGAAGGATCGCTTGAACCCATGAGGTCAAGTCTGCAGTGAGCCGTGATTCCACCACTGCACTCCAGTCTGGGTGACAAAGTAAGATCCTGTCCAAAAATAAGAAAGAAATGAATAATGGCCCTACCTACCAGGTTGCACCTGAAGGCAGCAGGACCTGCTGTGGGAGAAGCCTCCGATGTAGATGAACTGGGAGACTTGAACCCTCAGTCCAAAGCTTCCCCCTGCTCGCGCCCTTCTCTTTCTTATTCAGCACCAGGTTCAAGGTCATCCATGCACTATTGCTCTGTGTGGCCTTGGAGTTCCACTTTGCAGGGGAGCAGGGAGGACCAGGCGGGAAACCCCAGTTATCAGTAGCCGCTGCCTTGCACAACGCCGGGAGGGCGCCATTCACCGGCCTTTGCCCTTCTCCGCCCCAGGACCCAGGGAGAGGAAAAGCAGGAAGCCCACCTCTGACTTCTGCCAGCCCCGGGTACCCATCGGCTCTCAGGTGCGCCCCCTGAGGGTGCAGGACTGCAGGGCGGCCGCGCGGGGGCAGCAGACACCGGGGCGCGCCTGGGCGCCCCGCGCGAGTGGGTGGAGAAGTTCCCAATGACTCGCTTCGTCCCCGAGGCCTGCGAGGCCGGTTTCCTGGTAACAGCAAGGTCACGTCATCCCCAGGAGCTCGCCCTGTGCAGGTCTCGTCATGCCTGGGTTGCTGGAGGGAAAATCACAAAGAAATGATCAGGACCAAAATCTTTTTTTATGTCATGTTCCTAAGTTAAAACTTCATTTTGTTTCAAATCTTCACTTTTTTTTTTTTTTTGCCAGAAAATACGCAAAAAGGATAAATATGTCTGTATACTTATTGGAGCTTGGTATTTCTTCTTTCTGTTTTTTATTGTTTTTTTGTTTGTTTGTTTGGTTAATATTTTAGAGAGGGGGATCTTGCTATGTTGCCCAGGTTGTTTTGAACTCTAGGCCTTAAATGGTCCTCCTGCCTCAGCCTCCTGAGCAGCTAAGCTACAGGCGTGCGCCACCATACCCGGCTATTTGTGTGTGTGTGTGCGCGCGTGCGTGTAGAGATGGGGTTTCACTAAGTTGCCCAGGCTGACCTCAAACTCCTGAACTCAAGGGATCCTCTCACCTCAGCCTCCCAAAGTGCTGGAATTACAGGTGTAAGCCACCACTCCTGGCCTGCATTTTTTCTTTCTAAAGATGGTTTTATCCAAGCCACTTACATGCGAAAATAATAATTAAAAAGCAATGAAAGTATGATATGAAGGACTGTATCCTGGTTAAACCAATTGATTCGGAGATGACAGACTTGGGTTTGAACTGAGCTGGTACAAGAGCTCCTGCCCCACATTTCCTTATCTATAAAATTGGAGAATACTTAGAACCGGGCAGGGAAAGTTGTGGGGAGAAACCAATGAAATAGAGCTTGTGAGGGGCCTTTGGCAGCATGTGGGAGCTGATGAGTAATGAAGTCGGTATCTGTGAAGGAAAAGGAACTCAAGAATTTTTCAAAACAAAATAAGCTACAAATGGGACAAAATTACTTTCAAATAAGTGCAAATTTGTAAAAAGAAACCACTCAGGGTGCAAAAATTTTATTAATTCACAAACCAATGTGTGGAAATCATTATTGCAACCAAACTGTTTTCAGGCAGTTCACTTGGAACCCGATATGATTTTGAAATTTAAATTTTAAAAAACCCACTGCCAAATGTAAAGAAAAATCTTTGCTCCCTTAAAATTAATTCAAAAATGTTTAAAGAAAAACGAATGGAAAGAATTTAAAACTGTTTTCAAAGGGATATAAAGTCGTCAAACCATCCCATGGTTCAAAAACATTATTCATCCCAAAATAAAAGTGTAAAAAATAAAATAAAACGGGCAAAAAAGCATAAATGCAGGCCGGACACGGTGGCTCGCGCCTGTAATCCCAGCACTTTGGGAGGCTGAGGAAGGAGGATCGATTAAGCCTAGCAGTTCAAAGCCAGCCTGAGCAACATAACAAGACCCCTGTCTACCAAAAAAAATACAAAAATTAGGCAGGAGTGGGAGTGAACACCTGTAGTCCCAGCTACTCAGGAGGCTGTGGTAGGAGGATCACTTGAGCCCAGGAGGTGGAGGCTGCAGTGAGCTGTGTTTGCGACACTGCACTCCAGCCTGAGTGACAGAGCAAGACTGTGTCTCAAAAATAAATAAACAAATAAATTTTAAAATCATCAACATATTAAAAAAACAGCAACGGAAATTATTCATAACATTTACCAACTCATTTATCGATCAATTTGTTCAGAACCAAACTTTTTAGACACTTGTTTTCTGCCAGCTCACCTAGACCTTTCTCTGGGACATTCTCCCAGCACCCCTGCCCCATCCTCATCCACTCCCTCTTTCTCTACTTGCTCTTTTTATTTTTGTTTTTGTTTTGTTTTTTTGAGACAGAGTCTCACTCTGTCACCCAGACTGGAGTGCGGTGGAACATTCTCGGCTCACTGCAACCTTCGCCTCCCGGGTTCAAGCGATTCTCCCACCTCAGCCTCCCAAGTAGCTGGGACTACAGGCGCGCACCACCAGTCCCGGCTAATTTGTGTATTTTTAGTAGAGGTGGGATTTTAGCATGTTGGTCAGGCTGGTCTTGAACTCCTGACCTTAGGTGATCCACCCACCTTGACCTCCCAAAGTGCTGGGATTACAGGCATGAGCCACCCTGCCCAGACTCGCCTCAGCTTCTTGAGTAGACTACAGATGCATGTCACCAAGCCTGGCTGATTGTTTTTAAAAAATTTTTTTTTGTAGAGGCAGGGTCTTGCTAAGTTGCCCAGGCTGGTCTTCAACTTCTGGCCTCAAGCAATCCCACTTCTTCAGCCTCCCAAAGTGCTGGAATTACAGGTGTGAGCCACCATGCCCGGCCTCTACTTGCTCTTATGTCTCATGTCCTAAAGCAGATGTTTCTAGGACATTTCCTAGGGTTTCACAAAGTTAGAAATAAAATAATAAAAAATAAAATGTTCCTCAGAGCCCCGTCACCTCTCTGTTTAAACCATACTGTGGGTCAGGCGTGGGGACTCACATCTATCATCCCAGCACTTTGGGAGGCCAAGGCAGGTGGATCACCTGAAGTCAGGAGTTCGAGACCAGCCTGGTCAACATGGCAAAACCCAGTCTCTACTAAAAATACAAAAATTAGCCAGGTGTGGTGGTACACACCTGTAATCCCAGCTACCCAGGAGGCTGAGGCAGAAGAATCGCTTCAACCTGGGAGGTGGAGGTTGCAGTGAGCCAAGGTCACGCCACTGCACTTCAGCCTGGGTGACAGAGTGAGACTGTGTCTCAGAAAAATAAATAAATAAATAAATAAATAAACCATAAACCATATTGTTGAAAGAAGTCATGCAGCCCCTCATGGCCACCATCAGCCACCGCCATTGCCCTGGCCCAAGTCACCAAGCAAAGCCAAAAGCTGTGAGAGCCTGGGGGAAATGGTTGCAACCCCGCAAACAGTATCTACAATCTGAAGTATCTGAGGAACTCCTACAAACTAGTAAAGATAAAATTAAATGACCCACACGGAATTTTGGTTAGCCAGAGGAGTGAATTCAAGAGATGTGTTGTATATCACGCTACCTATAGTTGATAACAATCTCGTGTACACTTGAAAGCTGCTGGCTAGGCACGGTGGTTCACGCCTGTCATCTCGCTCAGCACTTTGGGAGCACCAGGCAGGTGGATTGCTTGAGCTCAGGAGTTGGAGACAAGCCTGGGTAGCATATTGAGACCCTGTCTCTATTTAAAAAAAAAAAAATGCAAAAATTAGCCAGGCATGGTGGCATGCGCCTGTAGTCCCAACTACTTGGAAGGCTGAGGTAGGAGGATTGCTTCAGCCCAGAAGGCAGGGGTTACAGTGAGTGGAGACTGCACCACTGTACTCCAGCCTGGGCAACAGAACAAGATCCAGGCAGGAGGGAGGGAGGGAAGAAGGAAAGAGGGAAGGAGGGAAGGGAGAGAAGGAGGGAGGGAGGGAAGGAGGAAAGGAGGGAGGGAGGGAAGGAAGGAAGGAAGGAGGAAAGGAAGGAGGGAAGGAGGGAAGAAAGGAGGGAGGGAGTGAGGCAGGGAAGGAAGGAAGGAGAGAGAGAGAGAGAAAGAAAGGAGAGGGGAAGGAAGGAAGGGAAAAAAGAGAGAGAAAGAAATAAAAAGAGAGAGGGAGGGAGGGAAGGAAGGAAGGAAGGAAGGAAGGAAGGAAGGAAAGAGGGAAGGAGGGAAGGAGGGAAGGGAGAGAAGGAGGGAGGGAGGGAAGGAGGAAAGGAGGGAGGGAGGGAAGGAAGGAAGGAGGAAAGGAAGGAGGGAAGGAGGGAAGGAAGGAGGGAGGGAGTGAGGCAGGGAAGGAAGGAAGGAGAGAGAGAGAAAGAAAGAAAGGAAGGAGGAAGGAAGGAAGGGAAAAAAGAGAGAGAAAGAAATAAGAGAGAGGGAGGGAGGGAGGAAGGAAGGAAGGAAGGTAGGAAGGTAGGAAGGAAGGAAGGAAGGAAGGAAGGAAGGAAGGAAAGAAAGGAGGGCCAGGTGGGTGGATCACAAGATCAGGAGTTCAAGACCAGCCTGGCCGGTCTTGAACGGTGAAACCCCGTCTCTACTAAAAATACAAAAATTAGCCAGGTGTGGTGGTGGGCGCCTGTAATCCCAGCTACTCAGGAGACTGAGGCAGGAGAATTGCTGGAACTCGGGCGGCAGATGGTGTAGTGAGCTGAGATCGCGCCGTTGCACTCCAGCCTGGGCAACAGAGGGAGAGACTCTGAGAAAGAGAGAAAGAGAGAGAGAAAGAGAGAAAGAGAAAGGAAGGAAGGGAAGGAGGAAAGAAAGAAGGAAGGAAGGAAGGAAGGAAGGAAGGAAGGAAGGAAGGAAGGAAGGAAGGAAGGAAGGAAGCCAAGAGAGTAGATTTTAAATGTTCTCACTGCAAACTAATGATGTAAGTATGTGAGGTGATGCATACGTTAAGTGATTAGCTTAGTCATTCGACAATACATCCATATATTAAAACACCATGTCATATACCATAAATATGTACGGTTGTTCCTTGTCAGTTAAAAATAGGGAAAGGGAAAGAAATCAAATGACCCAATGGAATACAAGAGCAAAGCCATTCACAGAAAAGGAAACTCCAGGAGCCAATAAACCGATGGAAAGAGGTTCAACCTCATTAGTCATTAGGGAGGAATGCACATTGAAACCACAGCGAGATATGATCTCACCCTCATTTGCAAAAACAAAAAAAAAGTCTACAGCACACGTGCATTGATGACTCTATAGGATAACCAGAGCCCCAGACACTGCCTGTACCCTGACTCAATAGTGCCCTGCTGGTTTTTAGTCTCTGGGTGCCACCCATGGTAAGAATTGTATTAAACAGGCTGGGCGCAGTGGCTCACATCTGTAATCCCAGCCCTTTGGGAGGCCAAAGTGGGAAGATCGCTTGAGGCCAGGAGTTGGAGATCAGCCTGGACCACATAGAGAGACCCTGTCTCTACAAAATATTTTTAAGAATTAGCTAAGCATGATAGTGCATGCCTGTAATCTCAGCCACTCAGGAGACTGAGGCAGGTGGATCACTTGAGCCCAGAAGGTTGAGACTGTAGTGAGCTAGGATTGTGCCACTGCACTCCAGCCTGGGCGACAGAGTGAGACCTTGTCTCTAAAAAGAAAAAAAAGAAAAAA